GCTGGGGGGACGGGCGGGAGCTGCGCGGAGCCCGCCGAGCAGGTGGAGGAGGAGGCAGCGCCGGGCCGGGCCGGGGCCCGCGGGGCAGCATGGAGGGCGGCCGGGGCCGCGGGGCCGTAGACCTGCTAGGCAGGCGGGCGCGGGGCTGCGCTCATGCTGTGCGCGGCGATGTCGGCGCGGAGCAGTCTGCCAGCGCGCGGCCTCACGGGTCCTCGATGTCCAGGAACTCCTGCTTGGGCGGCGCCGCGCCGCGGTACCAGGCGCACGAGCCGTCGCTGCGCTTGATGCACGCGTAGTGCTTCGCCTGCCGCCCGTCCACGTTGTTCTTCTCCATGGCCCAGTCCGTCCAGAGGCACTCGTCCGAGGAGGACACGAAGCAGGGGATGGAGAGGCAGCGCGAGATCTACGGAGACATCGTCAGCGGCTGCCGCTCCACACGGGAGCATCCTGCCCACCGCGGCGGCATCCCACCCATCACTGGAGCATCCCACTACCTCTGCTCCCACCATGGGAGTATCCCGCTCATTGTGGGAGTATCCCACCACCTCCCACCACGGGAGCATCCCACTACCTCCACTCCCACCACAGGAGCATGCCGCTCGTTGTGGGAGCATCCCGCCACCTCCGCTCCCACCACAGCACCCTGCCGCCCGCGCCGCGCTCACCTTGCACTCGCAGCCCATCTGGTACCGCTGGTTGAGGCTCTTCTTCTGCGTGGGGCTCAGCGAGTCCCAGGTGGAGACCAGGTCGCAGAGCGTGATGTGCATCCTGCCGTTGCCCTCCGACTTGCCTGCGCGGAGGGCGGGCGCAGCGCTCAGCCCGTGCACGGCCAGGACTGCAGCCCCGAGACGCAGCATCGCGCAGCCCCCCTGAACTGCGGCTACTGCAGGGTCCCCCTCTGTGTCACAGCATCCCACAACCCCTGAGCTGCAGCACCCCGCAGGGTCCCCGCTATCAGCCCCATCCCAGCGAGCAGCGCTGGGGAGGTCCCCGGTGCCGCGGAGCTGCGCGCGGCTCTGTGCGCCCCGCAGGACCCGGCGCCCGCGCTGCTCACCTGCAATGAGATACTCCTTCTTGCCGCTCGTGTCCAGCGGCCGCCCGCACACGGCCGTCGACGGCGCCGTGTAGATGAACTCGATGTCCTGGTCGGGGCCCTTAAACATCTGCAGCGGGAGGGCACGCGTGAGCGCCCCGTGTCCACTGCCGCGCGGCCCGGCCAGCCCCGGGCACCCCTACCTTGATCTGCTTGATCTCGTACTGGATCCGCTTGATGGGGTTGCCGTAGATGTCATTCCCCGAATCCACCTCCTTGGCAGAGACGGCCTTGGCACGGATCACTGCAAGGGGCGGGCGCGGGGTCAGCGGAGGCGGCCTCCGCACGCGAAGCCTCCGCGCGAGGCCCTGGCCGGGCGCCGCGGAGCCCGGAGCCTCGCACAGACACCGGTGACACGGAGCTCCAGCCCTGCCCTGTGCTTGGGGACAACGCGCTGCCGAGCGGGACACTCGCGTGGAGGCACTGGCCTCGTGCAGGGCCAGCGCTGGTGCCCTCGATCCTGCGGTGCCCTCGATCCCGCACCGGCCACGTTTGCTCGGAAGGAGCAGCCCCCGGCGCACGGCGCGCGGGAGCGGCGGCCCGGCCTGCGGGCGCTCCTGGTGCTGCAGCCGTTTCCATTCACGTGCTGATGAATCACTTGACAAAAATGCAGGCGCTGGGCGGCGGATTCGCCGTGAACAGTGCGGCTTTGTGGAGGGGCGGCCGCGCGGCGCTTCCCCCGGCTCCGCGGGCTGGGAGCGGGCGGGCAGGGCAGCCCGGCGGGGACAGGGGCTGGGCGGCCGCGGAGGGGCCCCCCGCACCCCCGGAACCCCCTCAGGCTGTGCGGGCCGCGCGGGGCCCTGCTGCCTGCAGTGATGGCTCCCGGACCTGGCGTCCCGGCGCCGTTCCTTGCACAAAGCAGAGCAGGGGCTGCCGTGTTCCCTCTCACAGGGAACGGGGACAGGGGGAGGCACCACAACCAGATAGGGCACTGCTGGAAACGGCTGCGGGCACCGGCAATGCACCGGGCCCCGGCAACGCACTGATCTGTGCACCGGGCCCCAGCACCGGGACACCCCCAGCTGGGTCCTTTCCAGCCAGAACCGCCAGCTGCTCCAGAAGCAGCTCCGTGCGATGCCGCAGCACCCCCCCGGCTCCCCGTGTGCCGGAGCTGCCCCTTCCCTGCGGTGCACGGGGCTCCTACGCAGCCGTGCGCCAGAGCTGCAGCCTCAGCAGCGCCGCTGCCCCGGCCCAGCTGCCAAGCGCCGCCGGTCCCAGTCCAGCCAGCCCGGCTGCTGCTGAGTCAGCACCGCGGTCACCGGCACCCCCGGCTTCCTGGAGCGCCCCCAGGCCCGGCCGCGGGTGTTGGCGGCCGCGCGGGCACCGGGGCTCCTGCCCACAGCCGAGGGCACCGGGAGCTGCGGAGAGGCAGTGCTGGGGCCTGCGGGGATGGGAAAGGGCAGAAAGGGGCAGACGGGCACAGGCGTCGGCTGGGGATGTGCCCGAGTGGCAGTGGGATCCCCAGTGGAGCCAGCCCCAGTGCCGGGAGGCAGCTGGAGCGGCAACATCCCCCTGCGGCTGAGCCAGGGGGTCCCAGAGGTGCCCCCGCGGCCACCCTGTCCCCGAGCCCCTGATGGCCACCCTTTATCCTGGGATGCGGGAAGGGCTCTGGAGCGGGAGACAAAGCTCCCTTCTGCAGCAGGGTCTGGCGCGGGGGGAGCTGCCAGCTCGTGGCCCCGCCGCCCACACAGCCCTGCGGCCAGCACTGCTCCAAAGGGAGCCGGGGCAAGGATGGGCGGGAGGATGCCGGCGGAGGCCGGGATGAGGAGTGCTCCGGCCCGGTGCCTCGGCGCTTCCCGGCGCCGCCTGCGTCATCCCGGCCGCTGACGGTGCCGCGCGGGGCCCAATCAGCGGCAGCCCCGGGCAGTCAGCCCACGGCGCCGCCGCAGCGGCCGCAGGGCCCAGCCCGCGCCCGGAGCGGGGAATGGAGCCCGCGGCGCATGGAGCCCACCACGCACGGAGCCTGCAGTGCACGGAGCCCACCACGCACAGAGCCCGCGGCGCATGGAGCCCATCACACACAGAACCCACAGCGCACGGAGCCCGCGGCGCATGGCACCGAGTGGCACACGGATCCCACGGCCCTGCAGGACGTGCTGAGCACCCGGACGCGCCGGTGTCGCTGCGAGGGTCCCGGTGCCAAGTGCCTGCCGTCCCCCTGCCCTCACCTGCCCCAGGGGCCGGAGGGGTGGCCGCACCAGGAAGGGCCGGCAGGGGCCCTGCGCCCCCTGCATCCGCGCAGCACCGGGGGACCCACGGCGGTGACACTGAGGCCGCTGTGGCTGCCATGAGGCCCTGCAGCCGAGCACCCCCATGGCCATGCTGTCCCCTTGGCTGTCCCCGTGCCCGGGGCTCCCTGCACACGGAGCCCAAGGGACGCCCCTGCCGGGATGCCCAGGGTGGCCGGGGCAGCCGCTCTCCAGGCCCTGCGGTGCGTCTGCTCCATCGGAGCAGCACACTGAGCCCATCCTGCCCAGCACCCGCGCAGCCCCGAGCACTGCCCCGTTGGGTGGCACCGGCCATACGGGCGCTCACAGCACTGGGGGTTTGTGGAGCCAGGGGCCTGCGGGACCCCCGGCCGAACGGGAAGCTCCGGCCCTCCCTGCACCCCAGCTCCCAGGGCACCCATCACTGCTGCAGCGCGGTGACATCTCTGCCAAGGGCTCGGCCGCGCTGACACAGGCCCGTCTGCAACCGGGCCCTCTGTACCCAACAGTGTTGTATTAAACCAGCGTCGCGGCCGGGCTCCAGCTCCACAAGTGCCACCAACAGCATGGATGGGAGCAGAGGGACCTGGCCAGAGAGCAGGGAGCTGGCGCAGAGCTGCTGGCCCAGGGGGGCCGGAGGGAAGACATGAGGCTGGCAAAAAGGCCTAGACAGGAGGCCGTGGGACACGGGCTCCGGAAGGGAGGAGACGTCTCATCCAACAGGACAAACCTCACATTGCTGGGGCTTCCAGGGGGCATTGGGCCAACAGGGCCTGGGAAAACAGGAATTATATGATCTGCATTCCATATTCCAGGGCACGGGAGCTGGGAGGTGCTTCCGCTGAGCCTGCGCTGCTGCCATGGGACAGGCTCCATAGCCTGGAGAGGCACCTGCCCCTGCAGCCCCACATGGCCCCCCGGGACCACAGAGCCAGACGGTGACTCAGCAGCTGAGTCAGGGCCACCAGCGCCCTGCCAAGGGGCAGGGCTGAGTCACGGTTCCCGGGAAGCTGCCCCCACCGTCCCACGCGGATCCATGGCCGGGCATGGGGCTAAGGGGCCTGCAGCTGCCCCGTCCCCGCCAGGCCTCACAGTATGGCACTGACCACACAGAGGAGCAGCTCCGCAAGCAGGAGGCAAGAGGGGCGAATCCTCCTGGAGCATCCTGGCTCAGCAGCGGGGCACAGGGCAGGGCCGTGCAGGGATTCAGGCTGCCTAAGTGTTTGGGAATGCTACCTCTCCAGCTGAGCCTGGGAACGGCCCTGCAAAGGAGAGCGTCGGGAACTGGGGCTGGCCTGTTTGTTTAATATGTTAAAATTTAATAAGGGCATTATTCATAGAAAGAGGAATCCAGATCCCAGCGCTGCCAAGCCCTCCCTTTCAGCAGCATCCAAGCCGAACAAAGTGGGACGGGGAAAAGGAAATGCCTGGAAATAAGGAACAGACGGGAGGTGACCGAGCCCGACGCTGCTGGCTCCCGGGGCAGGGTGCTGGCTCCGTGCTCGAGGCCGCTGCCTATTGCAGAGCGGCGCGTTGAGAGAGGCGGCCCAGGAGCAGGGGAGCTGCCGCTTCCCCCGTGGCCGCGGCCCGCGCTGCCACGTACCATCTTGTATTAATCAAAGTTGCAACAGGCTCAGCTCGCTTTGGTCCTGCAGGACTCGGCAGCAGCACCGAGCGCAGGGCCCGCGGCCCCGCTGCCCACGGCAGCATCGGTGCCGACACCGGCGGCTCCCCCCGGGGAACCCGCCCCGGGCATCGCCGGGGAGCAGCCGCCCCGCGGGGCCGCCGGGTCCCTCCGCGCCGGGAACGATGGACACGCCCCAGATGGACGGATGGACAGACAGACGGACAGCGCCAGCAGGCAGCGCGCAGCCCCTGGCCCCGAACCGAACCGGGCCGCGCCGCGGGGGCAGGTGCCGCCGGGCCCGGGGTGGCCCGCAGCTCTCGCAGCCCCGAGCCCCGCTGCCCTCCGCCGGCGGGCGGGTCCCCGGGCCGGCTGCTGCCCGGGGCCGCCGCGCCGAGCTCCGCGGAACCGCGGGGAGCCGCGCGCCGCCGAACCGAACCGAAGGGCGCCAAGCTCCGCGGACGCGCGGGGAGCTCCGCGCTGTTCTGCTCCGCGGCGCACGGGGCCCGCCCGGGCCGGCTCCGCACCAACTTTCCGCCCCTTCCCCCGCCGGGAAGTTTTCGCGCCGGGGCCGGGCCGGGACGCGGGGGCCGGGCCGGGGGGAGCCGGGGCTCCCGCGCGGGGCCGGGCCGGGCCGGGGCCGGGCCCGGCGGGGACAAAGCGGGGCCGCGGGCCGGGCTCTCACCTACGTCGGCGTTGCAGAAAGCCTGTTGCGGGTGGATGGGCGAGCAGCTGCAGGCGTCGGCCGGGCGGGCCCTGCCGAGCAGCAGCACCGCCAGCCAGGCCAGCAGGCTGGGCAGCGCGGCGGGCATCTTGCGGCGGCTGCAGGCTCAGCGAGCCGGCCCACAAAGCCGCATCCACCGCCGGGCCGGCCGGGCCGCCGCCGCGCCGCGCTGCGCCCAAAGTTTGGGTCGGGCCCCGCGGCCCCTGCGCGGCGGTGCGGGCGCTGCTGCGGGCGCTGCTCCCCGCTGCCTTCTATGGAGGTGTTTTCTTCCCCCGGCTGCCGCGAGCTCCGCTTTTTAATGTGCTCCGGGGATTCGCTGCTCCTCCTCTGCATGGCACGGGGCCAGCCCGGCCTGCGCGCCGCTCCCCGCCCCTCCGCGCACCGCGCTCGCCGCCCCCGGCCCCGCCGCCGCCGGCCCCGCCGCGGGCACCGGCCGCCCCCGGCCCCGCCGAGCGGCCCGCGCAGCCCCCGGCCCGGGCACCGCGCGGCCCCCGGCCCGGCCCGGCCGCCCCCTCCCCGCGGGCAGCGCCGGGAAGGGGGCAGCGATCCCGGTGCCTCCAGCGGGAGCCGCGGCACGAGGGGAGGGCGCGAGGCCGGCGCGCGGCCCTGGCTCCCGGCCTATGCTGAGCAGAGCAGTAAATTGCATGGGAGGGCTGGGATTATGTCTGTGCCCAAGCATTTCCTCTCCTCCTGGCTTCTCCAGCTCATCCCATCTCCCCTGCCGCTTTCCCTGCTCCCTGTCTCTGCTCCCATTTTCCTCCTCATCCCAGGTGGTGCTGGTGGCAGTGCACCCCGGGGCCCGGCCCTGCTTTCGTGCACCCAAGAAACTCAGGCCTTCTCTCTCCTGACCTGCAGCGCATCTCCAAATCCTGCCGCTTGCCGCTGCAGCAGGCATCGGGATGCTGCCATTCCCATGCCGCGGAGCACAGCAGGACCATGCGATGGTCCAGGACAGGGCACCCAGCTCTGCCCCCACGCAGCGCCGGGCACAGCCGAGCAGGGCTCTGGCGCAGCCGTTGGCAGGGGCCCTGGCGCCGCGGCCGCACAACCTGCTCCGGAGGCAGTGTCCGGCTGCAGCGCTGCCCGCAACGCTGCTCCCGGCACTGCTGCCCCTCAGCTGCATGCAGAGCAGTGGGAAGGCGGGCGGCTGCGGCTGCTCCGAGTGCCGCTGAGCCCGCGGGAGCTGGTGGAGGCAGCTGCACCGTGGCCTGGGCACCAGCAGCAGAGGAGCCGCCGGCCCCGTCACAGCCGCACTTCCCAACCTCGCGGGGCGGCCGCGCTGCTGGTGGGTGCTGCAGGGCTAGGACAGGCTGGCACCCACGAGGCCGCTTCCCAAGGGGACAGGGGCTCGGGCCCCTCTGGTGCCCCAGATCCTGCCAGGACGAGGGGCAGCGAGACAGGGCCCTGCTGGGAGATGGGGGGACCCAGGAGAGCCGGGTCTGGGGGGACAGGCACTGCCCAGTGGGACACAGGTCTCCTGTATGGCTGAGCCAGGGGACAAGGACAAGGACGGCAGCTGGACAGGTGCCACGGGGACAGGGACAAGGGAGAGGACAGAACCAGAGCGAGGTCACAGCCGCCTGGGGGGCAGCACGGGACCAGGGGGACAGCACAGACCAGGGGACACTGAGCACCCCTGGGTGCCCTTATGGGGCTATAGCTGCTGCTGCCCAGTGCACAGGGGCAGCTCCAGCCCCCTGGAGCAGCTCCTGTCCCCTGGGAACAGCTTTGGGCCCTGGGAGCATCTCCAGGCCCTGGGAGCAGCTTCTGTCCCCTGGGAGCAGCCCTGTCTCCTGGGAGCAGCTCCTGTCCCCGGGGAGCAGCCCCGCGGGCTGAGGGCGCTCACCCCGCACCCCGCACTGACTCACAGCTGCCAGACTAAGTGGAAACACGTGCGGAGCCGCAGCCGCTGCCGGGCACCAGCGGGAGGGGAAGGGGCTGGCGAGCAGCGGTCGCGGGGCAGCTCCCTTCCAGGCAGCTCCTGGGCTTGGGCGCCGCCGCACAAGGCGCAGGACATGGAGCCAGGACACAGGGGACACGTGGGACACGGAGTCAAAACACAGAGGATGTGCGGGACACGGAGCCAGGGCACAGGGGATGTGTGGGACATGGAGCCAGGGGACACGAGGGACACGCAGGGCACCCAGGGCTGCAGCCCCCACTGCAGCGGCCGCTCCCTGGTCCCCGAGGCCGCTGCCGGCCTGGACGTGGCCCCGCAGCGGAGCAGCCGTGGTGACGGGTGACAGGGCGGCTGCTGCTCCGGGACACGTCCCTGCGGGCGCCGCTGCTCTGTCACGAGGTCCCTGCGAGCGCCGAAGGGCTTCCCGGGCCGTGTCCCGGGCGCCCGCAGCTCCTCCCAGGCCCCAGCTCTTACCGGCTGCTGAACCCCCGGCTCTGCATTACTGGTAATGCAGAAACTGCTGCGTCCCACACGGTGACGGTCCCCTCCTGCGCGTGACCTTCCCCAGAAAGCTGCAACGCAGGCTGCTCGTTACCCCAGAAGTTACCAAACCGCTGATGGGAAAAGAGGAAGGAAAAACGGCAACTGGGAAAAACAGTAGCCTGATGAAATCCCTGAAATGCTGAGCAGCCGGGTGGCCCCGGGCAGCTGTCCCTGCGGCTGTGACGCGCTGCCGCTGCCGGGGGGAACCAAGGACACTGCTGCCCGCAGGACCTTGCGCTGTCCCTGCTGAGGCTCCGGCGGGTCCTGCCAGGCGCGGGGCAGGGAAGGCTGCGTGGGGACACGTCAGGGAAAGGGCTGGGCACTGCCCGAGGACAGGGAGGCTCCCAGGGCGCCCGAGCGAGCAGGGCAGGACCCAGAACCCCACAGAGGTGCCGGGCAGGGACCCCAACCCCGGCCCCGTGGACAGCCGGGCAGGCTCCGGCTGGCGCCGCCGTTCCCAGATCTAGAACTTGCTCCTCAGGCAGAAGTGCCGAGCGCGGCCGTCCCCTGGGCCACCGGTCCCCCGCGCGGGCAGGGCTGCCGAGCAGGGGGATTCGCCGCTTCCCGGGCCGTGCCCGGGGACACCGTGTGGTGACAGTCCTCTGCCACCAGGTGCCACTGCGCAAACACTCGCACCACGCGTGCTGCAGCCCGGGGAGGCTTTACCGAGGGGCCGCGGCCAAAGACAGAGCCCGAGCGCCGCTCACGCGCCCTCCCCGGCCGCCCCGGCCCGCCGGTCCAGTGCAGAAGTCTTAAATAAACTCGATGCCCTCGTATTTCACGCTCCCTATCTTGGTCTCGGGCAGGAGGAAGCGCCCGTCCAGAGTAAAGGCCATGATGTAGCTGGCGATCTTGCCGTTGTCCTCCTCCGACTTGAGCGCCACGATGATCTGGTCATCCGTGTCCGGCACGAACTTGAAGGAGGAGAAGCCGTGGGTGGGGACCACGTCGCCCACGCGCGTCACCGTGACGTGGCCGAAGTCCTGCGTGGCGCTGAGCAGCAGGTTGGCGCCGCGGCGCTCGTCGGCTGTCTCGCTGTAGCGCTCGTGGCTGGCGCGGCGCGGCAGGAAGAACCAGCGCTGCAGAGTGTCGCTCCAGGCCGCCGACTCGTGGATGAGGTAGCCTGGGGCGGGCGCCGGTGTCAGCGGCACCGCGGGGCACCCCAAACCGCCCCCAAGCAGGGAGCCCACACAGCGACCGCCCCGTGGTGTCACCCCATGATGGGCACCTCACGTCCCAGTGCCCCAAAGCAGGGCCGGGCACACCACGGCACGGCTCCCACTGCCCATTCCACCCGCAGGACAACGGGACACGCAGCATCGAGCCCTGCTCCTACCTGGGGGTCGGATGCCGGCAGCGGCTCTCAGAGCGTTGTAGTTGGCCACCCAGCTCTCGTGGCCCACGTCGCCCTTGTGGCCCACGACCTTCACCCACTCGGGGTTCTCGTTGAGCACCTCCCCCGTGGCCGTGGTCCACTCCTTGCCCAGGCCGCCCACGTAGAGGTGCTCGTCCTTCACCGCCAGCCACTCCGCCTTGAAGCCTGCGCAGGAGAGGACACGGTGGAGCGAGGGGCCACGGTGCCGCTGCCCGCAGCCCCCGGGCTCCTCACCTTTGCCCACGCTGCCGTCCCCGTCCGAGAGGATCACCCAGGGCACCACCTTGTCGCCCTCGATCTGGTAGATGACCCCCGTGCGGTCGTCCACGCAGTAGAGCTTCCCGTTGAAGACGACCAGCTCGGAGAGCTCCATGCCGCGGCCCTTCTCGGCCAGGTGCGAGCGCAGCACGCTCGGCTCCTCGTCCCACTGCACGGCCACGCTGTCCCCGCTGTCCGACAGCACCAGGTAGCCCTTCTTCAGGTAACTGAACCAGGTGTGCTCCTGGGAGGCGCGCGACTGCGTGTCCAGGTCGGCGATGACGCCGATGCGGTAGCGCACGCCGTCGGCGTTCCTCTGCGGCGGGGACAGCGGGTAGGTGTCATTGTAGCGGTCGGCGGCGCGCGGGCCGGGGCGGCGGGCGCGCGGGCCGAGCGGCGCCGGGCGCGCCGGGCCCGCGCGGTGCAGGCAGAGCAGCAGCAGCACGAGCGCCGCGCCGGCCGACGAGAGCGCGATGGCCCTCCAGCGCAGGCGGAAGCGCGGGTCCGCGCCCTGCCGCATGGACGCCAGCACGGGGAGGCCTCCCACGCTGATCCGCAGCGAGCTCATGGACTCATGGCACGGCGGGACGCGCATCGGGCCGCGGCCGCCGGGACCTGCGGGGAGAGGCGGCGGGTCAGGGAGCCGGGACGCGGCGCCGCCACCCCGGCACCCTTGGGTGCCGCCGGCCCGGGCAGCCGC